ATTAAAGAACCAGATAGAGACATATTTTCCAATAAACAGAATAGCTGTGCAGTCAATTCAAAATTGCAAGCTACTAAGAATTGCTATCAATTTTTCCATTTAAAAGGTACTCCAAAATGTATTATTTATAGAAACACCTACTCATATTTATCGGAAAGTTTAAAAATAACCAATTTTTCAAAGTTACTATTTTAAAGAAATATTAAAACAATTGGTATTTATCTGACAGAACAATCTGATAAAAGACTCGTGACACCGCATGCCTTATTTAAAAATAATTAATTTACTATTTTTATTTTAAATTAATCATACTTTTTATATATATTATTTCTATAGGAAGTCGAAACGCGTCTTAGTTTAAAGCTTCATGTAAATTAAATTAATGTAAATATATAGAGAACATTCAGGAGAGCAAATATATTTTCGTTCTCGTCAGTGATAGCTCAGTTCAATTGATAGATTGGCGGTCACTGGACTTGAAATTTATTTACGTGACGCTATGTAAATAATTTAATAATAATAATAATTTTACAAAGTACATTGACTGCTTCTGCTACTGATATTCAGATTTATAGTTTTAACCGATTAAGTGTCCGTATTATACTTCAGAGTGTGTCGACATGATTGTGATATCCGCTTAAGCTTCAATGTTATTGAAAATTCAGTTCCGTAATAATAAAAAAAATAGTTTTATTTTTTATTTTCTTATTTTACATATTATTAACAAATTATTGGCAATTACGGTTATTTATGTGAAATTGGTGCACTTTAGTCGTTAATAGCAAATTTTCAATTAATTTAAAATAGAAAATAATTCCTGAATTTTAAATAAAACGTAATTATTAGTAATTTCGAGGTTGAAAAACGTACATCAAAAAAGAAAAAAATAAATTAAAATTAATTTATTTTATTACTCATACCATATATAGTATCGGGATGATTTTACTTTCATGAAATTGTGAATATTTTATATACTTTATATTCAAAATTATAAAATCAAAATCTTTCAAAATGTCATATTAAGTTTTTCAATTGTTAACTTCTGTTTCATTTTTATAAAAGGAATCAAAATTATTTATAGATACATAGTCCAGGTTTCATTGTACAGTCAGTAGTAAACCAGTCTTGGAGAAGCTATGGTACTACTGTCACAAGTAGCATGTATAAAAATATATGTGATACTTAAATAAAAATGAAGGATTTCAGAATTTTTCATTTGTGGCGTTAAGGTTATATAGATATATAGATGATAACAAATACACAATACATAATATATTACAAATAGATATTTTTCTGTATAACAGGTACATGGGTAATATTTCTTTCTGAAATTTTTTGCGAAATTTGATTTGACTTGTTTGTATTAACTTTTATTACTTGTCTTGAGAGATTTTTAGCTATAAATTTTGGCAATTAAATTATGTATACAAAATTAATTATAATTAATTTAAATTCAGGAAGGGTATTTTTTTACTATCAAGAGACCACCAGAGTATCATATTTATGAGAACTGTATATACTATAATTTTGCATTTTTACTTACCTAAATTTAAAAAAACTATTTGAAATTTGACTTCTTGTACTTATAATTCTTATATATTTTAATTAAATTAAAAGCAGTAATACGTATTAAGTTAAATTCATTTCATTCTCATTATGTTTATGAGCATTCATGCATGATCATTATTAGTAGTTATATATTAAAATATAATTTAATTCTAGACTTATATAGATAAATATTGAAAATGGATAATTTTCTCACATACGATTTTTTAGGTGTCTCGAACTAAGAAATCATTTCTG